CCACTTCCGACAGCACCTCAAGCACAGCCACGCTGGAACAAGTGGAAAGTGGACCAACATGCTGGAGAACGCGTGCATGCTCGAAGAGGACCCAACCCCAAGGTAAACCCGCCATCCTTTTCTGCCGCTGGCCCGACCGTCTGTTGGCCCGACCGTCTGTTTGCTCGACCGTCTGTCCAGAGGACTCGAAGGGCCGGAAGGATTGAATTGCGGGGCTTCGGCGTGCAGCAGCACAAGTTCGGGAGCACCGTCACCTCAACAGAGCAGCGACTCGGTGACACCGCTGTGCATCCCAAACCACAGATTTTTCACGGTGCAGAGGCGCAGCTGACGTGTGGGTGTGCGCGCGCTCGCGCGCTCCGTGGAACCGCTGCCCGGTGAGCGCCGTTGCCCCCCTGCTGTGGTAGCGCATGCGTTCCAGCTGGCACTGCGACGTGCCGGCTTCGTTGTTCTTCAAATCTCGACGGCGCTTCTTGCGATCGACTCTTTCCCGCATCAGCTCCGCTTGCCAACCGCCGTCCTACCAGACACCCGTCTGACATGACAGATGTCTCTGACGAGCCATGATAAGCGAGCGACCTCCGAAGGATCATTTCGCGGCGACTGGACGCCGATCTCCCGCTGGAGGCGTCACTCAGAATAGTAGGCTTGTGGCACAGGATGGGCGTGAGCCAACGAACCGACCCCTCGTTTGGTGTAGAGCTTGTCGCTACGCCACGCATATCTCCCATTCGCCCATATTGTCATGCGAAACGAGTCACCTGCACGCACGATGCAACTCGACTGGTTTCTGACAGCCAAAGGGGGGGGGGATTCAATACCTCCACAAATCATCCTCACATAGGCCCTTTTGTTTTTTTTTTTTCTCCTTCATTGTCACGTATATATGGGGGTACATGATTGTTAGGATTCGCTACTACGTTACCCGGTTGGAAGTAGGGCGTAGACCTTGGTCGACTTTTCTTGTCTTTTTCATTGTTGGGTGCTCATGGCAACGGGTGAATCAATGCATGTGCCTCGAGAAACGAGGTGGTGTTCGGGTGTTGGCGCGTCTGACTTGCATTTGAACGGACATCTATCATAGGGGGTTATACAGAGGAGGGAAGACTTGGGCCGCATGAACGTATCATGTTTCTCGCGCGGACTGCAGTAACATCATGGGGTGGTGGCGGACTGATTTAGTGCGTTTAAAAAAAGTCATATGAGATGAGCACACGATGAAGAGCCGTGTTGGACCATTTAGTGGTGCCTCAGTGATTGAACTTTCGACTGGACAGGGCTGGGGATAGCAATGAACACACAATGGCCTGAGAATGACCCATACGCCTGTCATGACATCTTTGCCTTTTTCACATCGCCCGGCCTTTGGCGATCGGACACAGGCATGATTGATGCCTGGACTGACTCTACTCTTGGCGCTTACGTGCTGGGAACACTTCACATTGTGCCAGTCATTATTCAGGTACAGATACATTATAGGCTACTCATGCTTCCATGTGTACAGATTTTCACATTACAGATGCTATCCAGGTTGTTCTACGCCTTACTCTTGCGACCCGTTGTCCCAGTGCTCTAGACTCCCTGTCAGCTCACGCCTGAGGCGGCTGGCGCTGACGCCCTTGGCCCAACGGTCGAAGGCGACGATGATGAGAAAGCATGCGGCGACCGTCGGCAGCGTGGCGCCGTTCTCGAGGTAGAGCATGAGGAAGCGCTCGGAGGCGGCGGCGGCGGCGAGCCCCAGGGCCGTGAGCGCGACGGCGGCGCGGACGGCGAGCGCGGCGCGGTCCGAGAGGGTCAGGGGCCTGTCGGCGCGGCGGGTGATGAGGATGAAGAGGGCGAGGAACACGAGGGCCAGCGACAGGGAGCCCCAGTAGTAGGCGTAGATGGCCATGTAGCCCGGGTGCTGGGCCGGCAGGGCCGCGGACGACGACGACGACGACGACGACGACGACGACGGGTTGACCGAGTCGGCGAGCGCCGTCGTCAGCGTCCTCGTCAGGGTGTCAAAGGCCGGTGGCAGGGACGAGGTGCCGGCGCCCAGACGGCCGAGAGAGCAGACGTCGGTCGTGTTGCCGAGTGTCTGGACCTCGTCGAGAATCCGGGGCAGCCAGTCCCTGCCGTTCGAGTCGTCGGCGAGTTTGAGCTTGTCCAGTGCCCTCGTGATGGCGCGCACGAGGGCCGTCCCGTCGAGGTGCTGCTCGATGCAGGCCACCCGCACGTCTTTACGGAACGAGATGAACCTGCGCAGCACGTGCCAGGCGAGGATGATCTGCTGCGAGCCTTCGACGATGCCGATCATGCCGAGGTGGAAGGGAAAGTGCAGCACGGCCCAGACCTGCTGGCGGATGCTGCCAAAGTTGCACTCGGGGGGGTTGTCAAAGTAGAGCATCCAGGAGAGAAGCTGTCGCGGGCCTTCGTGTTAGCACTGAAATGTCCGTCACAAAAAAAGGGGGTCTCTGTAGGCCATACCAGGATCAAGACCATGCAGGCGATCAGTAGAGTTGCGTCGAGCCGCACGTCATCATTGCCCATGACCTTGCCCACCGTCTTGGTCGCTCCAATGGCGCCCTCGCCGATGATGACAAGCGTCAGAAGCCCCATGCGCTCTGTAAGATGGGTGCGCTTGAATCCTGTCTTCCTCCAGACGATTGAGATGCCGAGGGTCACGGCCGCCTCTATGCCCAAGATGACATAGTACAAGTAATAAATACCGAGACCAGGCTTGGCCCCAGGTTTGAAGGACACCGTCATGGAGAGAAACGAACCCCCCGAAAAGACGAGGGCGGCTATCGTCAACGAAAGGGGCCAGGTCATGCTCTCCGTGTGCCTCCGGATGAAGTGCAGTGCGACCGAGTACTGAATGACCATGAGGAGGCGGCTACCCAGCAGGATGTGACACAAAATGCGAAAGTTCTAACAGACATGTCAGTCCCATTCGTGAATGCTCAGGTCTTAAGCGTCGGCGGCGGCGGCGGGCATCCTCATACTTGATTATTTTGTCCATCTTGCTCCGGATCGAAGGATGACCCCACGAAGGCAAAGCCCACAAAGATACAGAACTGGGCCAGCTTGCAGACGCGTTCGTAGCCAGAGTCCAAGGAGAAGCGGACATCGTGAAGGGTGATCTGGAACCAGGTGAACCAGATGATGCTGAAAAAGGAAATGTATGCTACAAGAGTGTTGACGTTGTTGACCGAATGTGCGCTGGTAAAAGTTTCCAGGTTCGCGATAAAGAAAAGGTCGGAAAAGAGCTCGATTGTGTTGGCATTTTCTCGTACAGAGAGGTGCAAGACCTCGTTGGCCGTCGTGGCATTGGTGTTCTTGTTGTTCTCCTCGCCATTGTCGCTGGCGGCGGCGTTCTCGCTGGCCTCTCTACTGCTGTCCGTCCTGACGTTCACGGGAGACTTGATCCATTTCAGCGGCGCAATCTTCTCTTCTTGAAGATAGTCCAGACCCCTGTGGTCACTTATCGTTAACCCCCCAATGCTGACTACATGCACCTGTAGCAGTCACCTGCAGGAAGCTTACCAACTGGCCGTCGACGCGGCTGACCTGCTGGAGTCGGTCCTCGGGACCCCCAAGTGCTCGATGGATGAAATGCCGGAGTTGGTTCGCTGCACGCCAGTCAGGGCAGTGGATGAGTTGATAGAGTCGGTTCGGCGCATGTCAAAATGACTGGTCGGTAACCGTGTCATGGTGTAATCCTGCCAGACCGAGAGCGACGCCTCTTAGGCAAACACCCTCATTGTGCTCGATGCGATGGGAGTGAACAAGCTGTAAGACCTGCCGTTGTTGGCGACGAGAGTGGTTGTATTCGAACCTGAGCAGCCCTAACCCATGATTGCCGCCATTCAGGGCCGCCGCATTCTGGACCTCCAGGGGCCGAAGAGACCGGCCGGGTGGACATGGTGTACTCGCTTTCGGTCTCGGTATCGCTCCTAAGGCCCGTTCCCGTTTTCCGCGCCACTTCGTCCACCTCTGATATGGGCTCAAAGCTTATATTTGCGTGTCTCAGTTTCTCCCTCTTGTGTCTCGCGGGGAGGAGCCTCAATGCATGAACCACTCTTTGTGAATAAACTGCATTTCACTTGGCATGACCATGGCCTTCGGGCAAGCCCAATTTCTACAAAAGCCAAGGCTCGTAGTGCAAACGCCGTGCTCACACTTGCTGTCTCTGCGATTCATCAGTCGCAACGCAGCCCCGAGCTTAGAAGCCAGACACAGCCACCGACAGGCCGACTCCTGGCATGATGGTTTCCTTATATAGGTGCATGAAGGTCGGTGCTCATCAGGCGTAAACACCGGGGACTGGCAGGACACCGAGGCCGACGACGTCAAACCACGCCAGACTGATGCCTTCCGCTGACGCATCTGGATTTGCAGACCGCCAGTTGGGAGGCTAAGCCATTTGTTGATTGATGCTTTGCAGTTTCACGCCCTTGCGAGGCAATCCGAGGAGAGGCTCGTAATTCGCAGGGCAAATCTCGCGACAGCATCACTGCGTCGCGTTGCGTCTCAAGTTTGCCTTGCCAAGGGCGCAGATGCGCGGCTTCGTATGGTGCTCGGATTTAGACTCATATAAAAGCGCCATTCAAGGCCAGCTGATTTGGAGCCTTTCTTGTTCTCTTGACCATCAGCAACATCCTTTCCACAGTTTTCACCATCTCCAACTTTCAATAGCCAGCCTTCGTATTCTTTTTGCTTGACTTTTTCCCAATCGCCATCATGCCTATCCTCTCCATCGTCGCCCCTGAAATCCCCGCCGAGGGCCAGGACAAGTTCCTCGCTAATCTGCCCGCGATTCTCAGTGATATCAAGAGCCAGCCCGGTGTCGCAGGCGTCACCGCTGGTCAGATTGTCGGCCAGGACGGCGTGCCCGTGACCGACTTCAAGTTTGTCCATGCCATCGGTGGGTGCTGGCGGACCTCGAAATAAACACGAGCCCTCATCTAACACGTGCGCAGCATTCAAGACGGCCGAAGACCAGAAGACGTTCGCCGACTCGGCATGGTCCCAGGAGCAGAAGGCTCGGTACGTGGAGAAGGCCGGTGACTTGCCGGCGGTCGGCCGCTTCGAGCTGCCTGAGCTTCCCACGGACAAGGCCCCTCCGGCCTACCTGCAGTACACGACGCTGCACATCGAGGACGAAAGCCATCACGTCGAGGCTCGCAAGGCGTTCGAGGATGTCATCAAGGCGCTGGGCAAGGAGGCCTTTGGCGGGCGCACCGTTGACGAGCCCTTTATTGGCTTGGGCATCATTGGATGGGATAGCCTCGAGGTGAGTCCTGCGTGCTACACTTGGTTCCACTTTGACCATGGCTAACGACGATTGTGAATGCAGGAGGCTGGTGCTGCTTTCCAGCAGCCTGAGGTGGCCGCCCTGTGGGCGAAGTACCTGAGCCTGGGCAAGGGTAAGAACATCATTGTCAAGATTCACCAGTGAGCATCGGATTCTGCCACAGGCTGCGTGCTATTGCTCTAGCGGGTCGGCGCCCCGCTATAGCATTGCTTTGCCTTACAGTCTGGATTATCCTAGGAGACGGGAGAGTCAGTTATGCGAGCAGTACATTGAAAAAAACATGGCCATCATAGAAAGAAAGTCATTGTAGATGATGACAGAGATAACCTTGACGGACTGTATCTCATCAGGTCTCAATAAAAATCAGAGGACTTTCATGCCATGACAATTGATCTGTCCCATCCTCTACAACACATCTAACGTTGTCCACTTCGCTACCCTACGTCACCTGCACACCCCACCACGCTAAGTGAGGGGTAAAACTCCTTCCCCTGAAGCCGTCACCAGATGCAACAGCCACACATTTGTGTTGCACATGGAAACGCTCGACTACTCGACACGCGCCGACATCACCGACGACATTGCCGGATCTCTCAGAAAGAGCTGCGTCGAGATGGCCTTGAATCGCATCGATGGCGACGAGGAGCTTTACGTGGGAGGGTATGTTGCCTAGGCCCTGCCTCATTGTGGCCCCTTCAGACGTTGCGTTCAAGGTCAACTGACGACCCTCAAGAATTTTTGCTCTCAAACGTCCAACCGCTCTGAGTGATCGCGGCATCACCCACGTCCTTTCCGTGGTGCGGTGCGACCCGTCAGAGGACTGGAGCGCTCAGTACAGACACAAGGTCATTGATGTGGATGACGTGGACGATGAAGATTTACTCTACCACCTGCCAGGGGCGGTGAGATTCATCGACGATGCCCTACATCCGAAGCCTGAAGGGAAGGAAAAGAAAGCAGTGAGAAATGGCCGCAAGGCTGCAGTATTGGCAGATGTCATTGGCGTCGCAACTGGAGGCGATGCGACTGGCCCCAGCGACGATGAAGCCAGTGACGAGCAAGCCGAGGCAGACGAAGATACAGTATTCAAAGCCAAGGCTGATCGTCTTCGTGCTGCCGCCAGTCCCAGCCAGAAAGACACGCCCGCTTTGTCGGCCGACCCACGGTCTGCCGACCCCGATGCCATAACGCCTGTGCCTGCCATCGAGCACCTGTCTCTCTCAAGCGCAGGGAAGCCAGGGGCGGTCTACGTCCATTGCGCCATGGGAAAGTCACGCTCCGTCACTGCTGTCGCCGCCTATCTCCTCTTCAAGCACCCCGCTCGCTTTGGCCAACGGCCCGCAGCGACCGAGATTCATTCCTCCGTGAGTTCGACGGCCAAGTGGCAGGGGACGAGCGACGCCGCGCGAAAAGCTGTCGAGGCTGTCGTCGCCCACATCCGCAAGACACGCGAGATTGCCGAGCCCAACCCGGGCTTCATCTCGCAGCTCGAGATGTGGTGGGACATGGGCTGCCCCGTGAAGGAGGGAGAGCTGGAGAAGCACCAGATCTACCAGCGCTGGACATACAAGCGAGAGGTGGAGGAGAGCCTGGCTGTGGGCGAGGCGCCGTCGCGCCTGCGTTTCGAGGATGAGGAGAGGGCAAAGGGCGGCGCCTCAGGTCCCGGCACAGGGCAGGAAAAGGAGCTCAGGTGCAAGAAATGCCGTCGCGTTCTGGCCACATCGGCATT